ATATTAGTAGATAAGGATTTCCCGGAAATAATTTTGCAATAACACAACCTGTCCGCAACTGAAAACAATCTAATGAAAACTCATTTGTTGAAATCAGTAAGAAGGTTTAAAATGTAGAGCGTGACAAATATTTAGATATACGTACATACACACATGCATACATAAATACGTATAAAAGTACATCCAGTTTCAGCAGCCGAGTAAAAAGTAACCGGAAAGTTACCGGAATTTATCGCATAAACCTTGGAAACTTTCTGTTAAAAGCAAAACCTTGTTAAGTTGTCCAACAACTTATTGAGAATGGAGGATTCTACTAAAAAAATTGCTTATGCTGCATTATTTAAGGTTTCGGTAATATTATTCTTGTTTACCGAATATTAAAAAGGCCATTTCACAAAGCACATCCCGATTTTTTTACTACATATAACATCTAATATAACGTCTTTTAAGGCAATGACAAAAAAATCAAGGTATGAGATATCTACTAAACTATAATTGTTTGTAAGGTAGATAAAGAAAAAAAATTTAAGTAGTCTTTCTTTTTTTTTCTGTAAGTTATAAAAAAAATCATTGATGCTGATTAAAATTTATGTGACTCAAAACGATTGCAAGACATTAATGTGTTTTTGCAACTTTCACGTCACTTTTTGATGAAATGCTGGTTTTATCTATTTTGATTGTTATTTAAATCTGATATCTTTTCACCATTACAAGGGCAAGTCCACCCATTTTAATTTTAAATAAATATTTTTTTGATACAAAAATTTTTAATATAAAAAAATATTGTTATTTAGTGTAAATATTCCAAATCAGGCCAAGCAATTGGTGGATTTATTACATCTTCATAGAAATCAACCATTGACCTTTACATAACTTGAACTTTTCAAGACTTCATTTCCATAAGAATCATGTACAGAATTCATATACAGGGAGATTTTTTGAGAAGTGCCCAAATTTACACAGGAGATTCAGACTCGGTAGTATAATCGTTTATTGAAATAAAAAAAGTTTTTTAAAAAGTTTATTTTTTTTTTAAAAAATGCCATTCTATTCCCTAAAAACAGAACGTGTTGACAATGCGGTAGTCATTCATAAATACCTAAATTTTACTGCACGAACTTGTGTGCGTGTTAGTTATGAATGATCGCGCGTAAAATAAATGAGTTGCGTATAAATCATGCACTTTTTGAGATTAGTTCAAATGAATGTAATTAATTAATAACGAATGATTTCAAATATTTATAATTTTTTATAACATTATTTATGTCTAGAATTTAATTAAAAAAAATGGATACACTTAGAAAAGCCACCCTGTATTTGTTTCATATATGTATATTTTTAAAACATGTTAATATGCTCTCATTAAATGTTTTAGGTATTGGATATATTAATTAACGTCTTCATATAGACAAACATTAATACCCTAAATATTTCATATTAATGAAGACAAATTACAGAATACCATATTCATGTTTATTTTCAAATATATTTGTGATTTTAAAATTAATCTCTCAAAATAAATGACGATGTTTATTCAATAATAATTCAGCGTCCAGAAAATTGAAACAATACAGTGTAATATTATTTTAACGAAGCATTTACACAGCGGGAATATTGAAACAATATTCGCGTTTGTAATAATGAAAAATAATACTCGATGGCGTGTAATAAATTGTACGCTTTCAATTGTGCCACATCATTATTGATGAAACTGCCGTGTTTCAGTATGCGCTTTAATTATTAGTATGCGAGTGACGCCTCGTTAAATGCTATTCAGTTATTAATTCGTTAAACTTGTTACTGCAATCAAGAAAATCGTGATGTAACAAAAACCGGCCAAGTGCGAGTCGGACTCGCGCATGAAAGGTTCCGTACCATTATCTATAAAAATGATACAAAAATCATGTATGGTAGCCCGATTTTAATATTTTTATTAAATTTTTTAGTATTTCTTGTAATGGCGGCAACAGAAATACATCATTTGTGAAAATTTCAACTACTACTATCTACTACTACGGACTATCACGGTTAATGAGGTACACCCTGGTGACAGACGGACAAACAGACAGTTAGTAATAGGGTCCCCTTTTACTCTTTGGTTACGGAACCCTAAAAATGAATAGTCTGAAGTGACCAGACATTCATAGAGCCTACAATCGTGTGAAAATAGCATTTATCAGAATTACGTTGTTTAAGTTTTCTTGAACAATCTTTCATTGTCATTTAGAAAGCGTATTTTCATTACATTAATAGAAAAAATATTGTGTATGAAACATTGTCTAATTCGTAATAAACGTTTAAAATTACGTTAAAATCGGAAGCACCGTAGAACAATAGAAAAACCCGGAAACAAAAAACGGTCCAAAATAAATATTTTCTGTAAATTATATTACTCAGAAATTTTGAGTCATTTCAATATTCCTTACTTCCATTTACACTTACGCCACTTCCATTATACTTCCTTAAATGTTATTGTAACATGAAACTATTGTACGGTCAAACAACATGCTTCTTATTCCCAGGACAGAACCAATTTTCCGAATCAATGGCAAAAGAAAAAGGCGAGGTTGCCCAGGGAGTTCATTAATAATTTGTACCGTGTTAGATTACTTTGTGTTGTATTTTTACTATTATTAAAACAGACACAAAGAAGGTCTTAATTTTAGATAAAATTTAAAAACAATAAACATAAAGCAGTCAAGGGAATTGCCGAAAGCAGAGGAAAATTTAAACTGGAATAACTGTTTTTTTTATTATATATGAATTATAGTTTGAATAATTAAACATAAGACAGATCCATTTTATTCCTGCTAATATAAATCAATAAAATGAATTATGAGTATATAATATATAATTTTTTATATAATTTTATTCAATTTTAATTTTAAAATTCATAACATAGATACACCGAACAATCAGAAATTTCTTATATAGAGATCAAATATTAGAAAACCCACATGATATCAAATTCTAACGTCATTACCTTCAATGATAAAACACGTGCCAAACCTGTCTTTTTTCATGTTTCTCCGTCCAAAATTGCACAACGTGCCTATAGAAATTTCCTCTTCAAAAACTGTGAAGATGGCATAACAAGATTCTATCTGTCTTCATCGTCTGATATTCCGATGAAATATGAAAGTGTTTAATAATCACAACACATAGTTATGGAAAATAACAAAAAAATCATATTCAGTGCGTTACTGCTTTCGCCAAAATTTATTTCACCTCTGAGACCTGACCGAGACGCAGACAATGGGTTTGTTTGGCCGTTCCAGCTCTCCGATTCCAATTCAGGAGCCCGAAAACAGATCTACTCCTTTGATAGCGTTTACGAGTGCCCGCTTCGAGACGTCTCGAACATTCGAGAAAATGTAGACGTAAACACTTCAGCTTCTTTGTTTGCATTTTTTTTCTTGCTTAACGGCAGCCTTTTAGTCTCATTTGAGATCTCGAGGGTCAATTCGAAGTATTGTTATTTTTAAAGCACAAAGATCAGCTGACAAACATTTAATCAGCGCAAACGTTATTTATTCCTCCATCTCAGTAATAAGTAAAGTAAGTAAAGTAACAGCCTATACGTGTCCCACTGCTGGGTAAAGGCCTCCTCTATACAGAGGGTATCAGGGCATAGTCCACCACGCGGCCCCACTGCGGATTGGCGGACTTCACATATTTTCGAAATATATTTTTTTTTTGTTCTTATTTCGAAAATATGCAGATTTCCTCACGATGTTTTCCTTCATCGCGGAGCACGTGATAAGTCAGCACTTAAAGTTAAAAACTTCATTGGTGCCGGCACCGGGGATCGAACTCAGGTTGCTCGAGTATATTGAATTAAAGGCGAGCGCCCGGACACTGAGCTATCACGGCTCTGAAGTAATCTCAGTAATAGTGATTAGTAATATCACGGCTCCGAAGTAATCTCAGTAATAGTGATTTTTAATTTTTTCTTTTTTTTTAAACACATCGTAAATCATTGTGCAAAACAAAAATCGAGAGATTAATTACTTATGATTTATCGTAGTAACAGTTATTTCAAACTGAGAAAAGAAAGATGCTTTAGATTTTTAACGCTTTCATTTTTTATACGAATGATATCCGTGCTGCTCTTTCCATTCTCTATTCAAAGTTTTGGTCCAATAAAATTCCTTAAAGAAAACATTTTCTCTTGAGTACATCTTTTTTGAATCTCTTAAATTCTCTTAAAACTTCAGAATGTCGCGGATATGTTTCCGCCAGGTAAAGTAGGCTGAAATACCGTGAAGTATAATATAAATATACGTAATAAAAAAATGTGAAAGTTTTCCAATATATTTAATATCCTATTAATTCACCCTTTTAATTGACATAATTTTTAAAACTTAGTGAAGAAATTAGAAGAATTCAAAAATTTTCTGAGTGTGACAGTAAGACCTTTAACGATCGCAACTGTAATATATTAAAGTTGTATTGTAACATAAAAAAGTAAGAAATGAAAAACTTTAGGTATCACGGGAATAGTTCACTTTGTTATATGTGTTTCTATATCAGAGCAAATAAAGCTACAGTAAACGTTCGGACGCAATGCAGAGTAATGGAAAATTCTGTCTAGAGTTGGAACGTAGCTATTTTAGGTCCACGCAAATTTCAAGTGCGTAATGGAATCTTGACTGGCAACTACCGAGTTAAAAATAACTGATGATCCATAAAAGAAATATGGTATAAAATTTTAAATCGGTTCAGTTTTGGAGCGTTTGACATTTTGTTATATATTTAACTTATTAAATATACCAATAGGTTATCTATGATCGTAACCTCAATATGTGAGTAAAGATTAAAGATTTTTATAAAAAGTAAATTAAAGATTATATCATATTATTGACTTCATTTCAGCGTCTCCGATGAATCGAATTAAATACATTCACTCATTGATCTAATTTAAAATAAAAGCTTGCCACATCATCTGCACATTATCAAATTGTTGTATATATGTGAAAAAATAAAGTTAAGGAACATACCAAAAGATATGAGGCCACTGTTGAGCATGATGAGTTTCATGCTGTTGGGTATGGAGACCAAGCTGTTGGTCCCCGAGGTCCTCAAGTCCTTCTTCTTCGCCTTCTTCTCCAGATCATATCTTGGCGCTGACCTGGAGCGGTATTTTCGTTGGCTGGTGGCCACCGACGTACCGCGTTGGCCCGTGCGCGACGACATTTTGTCTTCACCGACGGTTCCCTAATTTACGAGTTTACAGCGACGGAAGTGTCTGGCGCGATTAATACATCGACGCCATTTTATTATTCGTTTTACGACCACGTTTACGTGGATTATTATTATCACTATCGCGGTTCAATCAAAAAAACGGTGGGATCAACACGACGCTATAGTTAATTTATAGTCTGTACAACATCTATTTTTACCACTGCTGTAAATTATTTTCTTCGCGCACTTATAGGTAAATTAGGTTTACTTAATAAGATATCGTAAAAATATGACCAAGTTTTGTACGATGGTCGTTTTATAAAGAACCGAGTATTTCACCACCTGAAACAAATAAAATCAGGGATTAGATTAAAAAATAAACATTAAAATATGTAGAAAAAGTGCGAAAAGATTGTCGCCGCTGTGGGAATCGAACCCACGTCTTCGGCATTCGCGGCCTAAGATATAAAATTTTTTTAAAAAAATAAATTTTATATTTTATTCATGATTTGAAGTTTCATGTCAAAATACGCTAAATGTTTATATTAATTTTTATTAGAAATTACATTTACAAGATTACCTTTTTACATTTAAAATATTACTTTTTTCATGAATTCGCATTCAGGAATTCATGAAAAAGGTAATCTTTTAAATCGAATCGTTGGATGTAAAAGAATATGTTGAACAAATATAACAAATTCAATGCAGAAGGCGCGAATAAAATAATTATTAAGTATTCTCAAGTAGATATAACAACCGCTGTATGACGGGGTAGGATTTGTAATGCCCGGTTCCTATATTCAATGAACGGCCGTTATTTACATAGCCTCGTAGTTTTCCTAACGACTCGTTGTAACGACTTCATAATGACAATATAACTTAGGGCCGATCGTTGAATATAGGAACCGGGCCTTAAGGATGGAAATCTTCAACGAAAATGTTGTGGCTCGCAAGGCAGGGAATTACGTAAGCCGTGAAAATCTAAGCAAAACATGATTATAACGTGTAACGTTCATTTTTATTATCCACAACGTTATTGTGGGGGCGCAGGCCCGTCTCGGCCAGAATTCCGTCCGGAATTTCGTGTTGAAAACTATAACAGTACGACTTGAGAGATTTCAGTAATATAGACAAAATAATTTTTAATTAATATAATAATACAAACTCGATTGACCAATCCGGTAAACGCGTACAATTAATTGTACGCTAATGATCTTAAAACATTATATACAAGAAAAAAGATTAATATACGCATAAAAATATATAACCTTAATCATTCATTGAAATATTGTGATACTGGATCAGTGCGGATTTCAACTAGACAACTTATTTTGGCCTTAGCCAACGCTGGTTTTGTGCTGACATCTTATTAGAAGTAATAAACGGAATAAATTTTATGTTATTTATAAAATAAAAAAAAATTACGTACGCAGTGATAAAAAGTTCTCATTATTTTTAACACTTTGCGAGCCTTTCTTTACTTCTTCCATTTATAACATGTGATCCATTTGTTACCGATATAGCTATGTGACGTTGTGTATCCTGCTTCCCACGCTTGGAAAAATATTAATGAAGAACAACAACTGACTCACATGTATTTCGTATGTGGAGCAACAATGAAAATACTTTTAATTCTTTATAATTGCAAAAAATGTCGACATTCGTAATGTGTTTATAATGTGGACACTTTTGTTAATAAACCAAAAGCCTTCCTAGAGCATTTGCACACCTTCACCGGTCGTCATTGTTAGGCAATTCGTAGAGTTGAGTTGTTTTATAAATATTGTCTTACTAATTTTATTGCAGGTGTCAAAAGGTCATGTAGTAAAATGAATATTTAATACCACTTTAAGCTCATTTGAAGGTCATTCGCCTTAATGAGTGTGTTGTACTCAAACACCAGCTAAACGCAAGAGTAAATCCTTGTATTCCTGGTACTTTCCTGGTTGAGCCGTTGTTGGTACACAATTACAAGCAATTAATGTGTTGTGTAAAGTAAAGAAAAGCTCTACCAAATCAAAAGCTTTTTATTTACTCATCATTTTTACGTATTAAGATAATAAAATACGTTTATACTCATTTCACCAATGACGTAACTTTTGTTTAATATTCTCTCAACGGTTTTCACCTCTGTCATTTTTGCGTAGAGAAAACAAAAACAATTTTAAATATTTAGCTAGGAAAAACAAAAAAAAACGCGGCATAGAGTGGGTGGACACAAAAATTTTCGTGCGCTTACCAAATAAAGATGATAAAAAAATGTCTATAAAGTCTCTGTAAATTCTTTTCACTATCCTTATTATACTGTACTTTATACTAAACTATACTTTAAAATACTATAATATTATAAACGCGATAGTTTTTATTTATGGATGTCTGAACGAATTTTAATGAAACTTTACAACAATATAGCTTATTCATCAAAATAACACATAGGTTATAATTTATAAAGACAATGTGTGAGTTGTGAGAAAAATAACGATAACTGTCAAGTAAAGAAGAAAATCCATGCCATCTGCGAGCTATTCTGGTGTATAATAAAAAACTAATTATTAATTTCCTATGACCACGCGGGCGAAGCCGCGGTTAACTTCTACTGTATATGCCCAACCAGTGACAAATTGGTTATATTATTAACAAATCAAAATCAGTGAACTTTATATTCAAAAGGGATCAATAAATTGTTAAAGAGAAAAATAATCCGAATAGCAAATAGAACATTTATAACTTACATTATATATGAGATAATATAGCTAGAGATTTCTAGTTTTCTTAAGAAAATAATGTGGAATAAACTATATAATTATTATCTGGCAATGTATTTATACTAAACATTCGTCACATAAGATCAGATCAATCCATTGTTACGGTATTGATCGTGGAAATTATAAGTAATATATTGTAAGGTTTTCCTGTTTGGCAACGGTTATTTGGCGTCGCAAAGGAATCTTATTTTACTCGTACATATTAAAACACCTTGATTTACGAAGTTGTCTCTTTAATGACAGACAAAAGAAAAGGGAAGATTTCTCAGCTCTTATTTTATTACAATAAATGTAAAAAAATATTTATGTTATGTTATATTCACGAAAATACTATCTATTGTTACATAAAACTATTTTATGAATTGTATTGTGTTTCATGTCCGATATCTCGTCCACTATCCGTCAGTCATGTTTACATTTGGAAGTAATGTAAACATCAGGATTTACACTCAAGATTGAACGTAATAACATACGTAAAATATTTTGTTTTAGTATAAATACTCGTGTTTTATGGATTTTATCGCTTTAGTTTTTTGGAATGGGCAACCCTAGTCTAGAGAAGAGTGGAGTAGACCAAAAAGGGTTTCTTACCAAAAAGGGGGGACCCTTTGCCCAGCAGTGGGGCAAAGCGGTCTTATAAGAGAAATTCAATAGGCCTACTAACAGGATTAATAAATAGCCTTGTAACACGTAGAATTCGGTTTCATTTAAAGAGAAATACTCATTAACCAAAAATTGTGAAAAATTTCTCCCCGTGTAACAAAATTTCTGAAATGTTATTCTCGTAAGGCATTCAGTTGTGTGTAATTTCACTGTTTGTGGTGATTTGATTGAATTCAAACATTTTACTTGTATAATAATGCTGTTGGCGCCGTATGCTGCGAATTCCACGTAAGGCCGGTCGCAAAAACATCTCCATCTTAAAGCAGATTAAAATAGTAAACGGTCAGAGTACGTACACAATCTGCTTACAACGCATAGTGCCATACTTTGGCCATTAAGCACGGAGAGGGGCAGACAACCTTGAGCATTTGATAGAGACGGGGATAATAGAGGGTAAAAGACCTAGAGGCCGTACTCCTAAGCGGTGGGCGGATCATATTTCAAAAAACCTGGAAATCCCCATAAGCGCCGAACTCCACCTGGGGACGGAGCGAAACAGATGGAGACAGCTCGTTGACCAAGTAAATATGAGTTACGATCCTCAGCAATGAGGGATAGGCAAAGAAGAAGAAGAATAACTGTAACATTTACATAACAAGGCTCAGCCTGTTCATAGATTTCAACGGGGCTGTGTTAGAATTTTATTAATAGGAAATCAGTGTTTACTTAATGTTGATTACAAACCAGTACAGTGGTGGTCTTGTTCCTGGGTAGTTTGAAATTTGAGCTAACGACATTTACTATTGAACCTAATAGTTTCCGTCTATTGTTTTAACCTAACAATTTAAACATCTCATTATATATTTAAATTTTTAGGTTCTAATAATTTAAACTATATATGCAGCGAAAAACCTTAGTGTCATTTTTGGGAAATATTCGCAAATGGGTACGTGATTCTCGCACGCAATTAATACGATAAACGCGAACACATAGGAAGATGCATTACATTTAGGCAAAAGTCGAGACTGCGCAAAAGGAAAAGCGAGAGAAATTGCGGACCCCCATTACTTGAAGCTCGTAGCCGGTTGGAGATAAGCGGGGGCGAGATTGACGTTGTGTAATTACCATTGCCTGGAAGACAAACGTCTGGGGGATTAGCTTCGAGAACATTCCGCGATTATGCGATCACCGACATACAGCTGCGTGTCTTTAATACGCGCAGTGATACAAATTGATGTCGTGTAACTAAAATTGTCTCCCAAAATTCATGGTCAGAGGAATTAACTTTTTTTACCAGAAATACTTGGCTGTAATGCACACCTAATGGCAGAAGAAATAATGTTTCTGTTATGTATATAAGTACCAATTGTATGATTGCTACTTATATACATTTTTATAAGCTTATTTGACGAAAATTTTAGAACGTATAGACACATAAATTTCTCATGATATTTGAAATATTTAGAATTTATTGGGGAAAAATGTATGATTTTGTCCCTCGCAAGCGCACCGAAAAAGTCTTTTTTTGCCCGTGTGAATTTATAGTTTATGCAACGAACTACAAACATTCACCAATATTTACTGTGAGCGGTGGTATAGCCTTTCGCAATGTTGTCTCACCTAGGCGCTACATGAAAGAGTCATGCTTTAGTACATTACAGTAATT